TTAAAGTTTAAAAGAGACTGGAATGGCAAAAAGCTGTGTATGCTAATGGGCACACAGGGTTGGGCCTTGCTGATTTCCAAGATCAAGATCTCTTGCCTCAGTGTTTTCAGGCCTGGGGAGATCATGCCTACAGTGACAGAGACCAAATGAGCCCATAGATTCTGTCTGACGCATCTAAGCAATGTCCATTGAAGGCTCAGGGTGTGTGTTTGGGGGAAAGCAAGTATATAAGAGAGAAGCCACAGCATGCCCTCTTCTCATCTTACCAGCCTTTATGAAAAAAAAAAAAAGAAAGAAAATTTTCTACAAGTATTACTGAATTCACAGCTGCTTTTCTGTGCTTTTGTGCCCCGTGGTTTCAGACCTGAAATGGACCATCTATTATACACAGTCAATATTTATTGCAACCCTCCATTGAATGCCATCACTGGTCTCCAAAATGTGTTGAAGTTAGGTCTGTGGCATTTCCCTTCCCTCTAAACTGAGTACTTTTATGTCTCTGTTAATGGCTAAGAAGAAGAGAAATGATGCTGTATTAAGAGGTTGATGCTTTATTGAGTCTTGAGCTATTTTCTCCTACTCTGCAACCCTTATCTCTTACTGCAAACATCACTGGGCATGTGGTTCTAGCTCACGGTCCCCCGAAGCCTGCATACTGTGACCATTTCTACCACAATCAATGGGCCCAAGTTGTTTCTAATTTCATTTGGGAAGTGTTCTTTCTTTACCCAGCTGCACATCCTGCACACAGCAGCATCCTTCTCGTGCTGCCTGCAGTCCTTGAAGTAGGGTTGGCCAGGTCAGTGAAGGACACCTACAATTTAAACACTCATTAATTCATTACGTTTTCTTCTAGTGTGAGAATAATCAGCAGTTGCAATCTCTGACATGTCTCCAGCATTCAGTGAGCTGGGTTTTCTGCACAAACACCTGTTTCCCCACCTCTCTATGGGTGTAGGTTCCTCTCTGGCTCGAGAGGTATCCATTCTGTGCAGACAGCCTCATTCTTGCCCTTAACAAAAGACACTACTTTTTCTGAAGCATCTGACTATAAAACATCACAGTCAAGGGAGCCAGGAAGGAGGGACCTTGAGTGGTCCCACTTAACACAACAGCGGTGTCCTGACATAATCAATTCCTCCTAAATCAGTGGTGGAGAAGCATTTGCATCTTTCCATCACCTTAGGCCTGTGATCACAGGCCCATAAAGTGGAGTGTACCTGAGTGCCTACATGTTGGAGGGTGACTGTGTGCTCAGTTTATGGATTTTTATGACTAAAGCCATTAGGGACTTTCAGCTGCTGTATCCATGTAAGCAAAGATACATCAACCAGTATTTGGTTATTACCTTAAGTGAAGTTTCTACTTATGCCTTCCCTTATCCTTTTCTGTTACCCCTCCTTGATGTCCTAGGAAAGACATCACACAGATCTGGATTTGAGAGCTAGCTCTCCGCTTTGATTATTGTGCTGTTACATTTTCCTAATGTGCTGTAGATGTTTACTGTGTGCTGTCTAGAAATGTAACTTAGTCTCCTACCTGCCTGGGCCTCAGTTTCCTTATGTGGGCATGGTAAGGCCTGTCCATCAGGATTGCCATAATTATGTGATTATGCTCAGTGTAAATACCAGTTAAACACTGAATATGCTTAAATGCTGACAGTAGCACTGTCTCTGGGGACATTAGAAGTGTTTATCAGCCTCACATTTGACCCTGATGTTGAGATGAGGCAACATGGCCTGCTGGTGGTTATTGGCACCAGCAGATGAAATGCGAACACAGCCTTCTACTAGATCAGTGGTTCTAAACCTTCACAATGATTCGACCCTTTAATACAGTTTTTCATGTTGTGGTAACCCAAATCATAAAATTGTTCTGATTGCTACTTTGTAACTGTAATTTGGCTACTGTTATGAATCATAATGTAAATATCTGTGTTTTCTGATGGTCTTAGGTGACCCCTGTGAAAGAGTCCTTCTACTCCAAAAGGGTCATGACCCACAGGTTGAGAACTGCTGCCCTAGTGTGATGCTAGAAGGTTTTTTCCCACCCCTCCTGTTCATCACACAGTGCCACACATGGGCATGCAGATTGTCTCTACAGTTCTCGCTCCACACACTGGGAACAGTCAGGAGGAACTGGAGGAAGAGAGGAGTCCCGTTACCATGATTGACTTGGAGACCAGACTTCTTTCCTTCTTCTGCAGCTTCACAAGAGTACAGCCTCAACCTTGAAGGCTTTTAGAATCCATTAAATTTCCTGTCCTTTCATTTTATTGGTGACAAAACTGAGAGCCAGCCAGCCTGACTGAGTTGCCTATAGTTATACTATTAGCATGTCCCTTCCTCTAATAATTAATGACAGTGTGAATTATGGATTATCGTTAAAAATCCCTATGATGTCAGTAGAAAATGTGGTTTTTTTTTAAGGGATTCCTGAACCTTCATAGAAATTAACTTTGTTCATGAGGAAAAGCCCCACTACTACTATTATTTCCTCCCTCTATTCAAAGCTACCACTAGGATTTCCAAGACGTGTTTTCCACATCATTGCCACTCACTATTAAAACCTTTGGGTGTGGACATGCTGGAAGATTGCATTGTGTGTACCAAAACAGACAAAAGTTGTATCTGTACAGTCAGGTCCAATAGTATTCACATATTTCCTACATCTGGACTTGCAGACAGTGGGTGGAGCAACCCCATGTGGTCTTAACTCAAGCAGCATCCTCTCATTTATGTGTGTAGACACTGGTCCTACAAGGCTGGCTAACTTTAACCACGTTCATCCCTGTGATGAACTCATGGACCACCTGATGACCGGAAGATAGAAAACAACTATTCTTTGCTGGCAGAGTCCAACTGTAAATCTGGCGATACATTAGTGACATATCTGAGTTGTGACGCTGACTCTGCGTGAGCGTTAATAGAAGCTGTATAATTGTGTAACAGATTTCTCTGTGTTGTTCTTCTGGCCAATTTCAGGGCTGGAGAATTTTGCCTTAAAGATATAAGCAAAAAGCGAGCCTTTGTCATGAGCTTGTGGATATTTGTGCAGAGGTGGATGCAGTTGTGGAAGGGTAGAGGCTCATTAGTCATGTCAAGAAAAAAAAATCTTTAAAAGCATATATTATGTATTTCCCAACATTCTAAGGGAAGGCAGCTCTGCCTTCTACGTCTCCTTTATTCTTGTTCCATGCTGTGAACTCATGCTGTAATTCTGCCCTTAGTAATGTTGCTGCTGCTGCTTCTTGCCTTATGTTTTCTCACACAAAATGTAACTGCCTATGTGTGTTGTGTTTGTGTTTTAGTTGCTCTTGTTACCAATTGCTCCCCCTTAATGTCATACCAAGCAGGGCTCTTGAGAATTAAATGGGGGACCCCGGAGCTTCATTCCTTTGTGTTCAGATGCCCCAGATTAGGGAGTACTGGCAAAGAAGGGAATGAATAGACCTGTTGTTAACCGTCCTGTAAATACATGCTATGTCTCTGGGTAATGGATTGCTTTTTTTGAACAAGTAATCATTCAAAGTTCAGTTTTAATCTTCGCATCAGAGATAGCGATATAGAACTGTTTAGGCTCTTCTCTCAACTTCTTTCCCTCTTTGATTTTTTTTTGAGATAAAGCAAATTAATTAATGTGCACTTTTCAGTTGAAGAAATGATTAAGACCCAGCTGTGTCTGTGAAATTATAACCTACAGTGCACCCGGGACTTGTTAATGCTTTTGTTGGCATGCAGAAAAGAGACATAGGTATCTAATAGTAAGTGGTGTTCCACAAAATGTAAGTTAGCAGTTTGTTTGCCAAATTAATTTTCAAAGACATTTAGGTTACTAGGTTTGACATTTCTAAACACAAATCTTAAATGATTGATGGACTGCTGTAGAATAGCTTTGTTCAGGAAAGATAATCTTTGGCAGGCTGCTTCAAAGAATGCTTCTCTAGAAAGATGAAATGACTCCCCATTTTACGTTAATTTCCCTGATACATCAATGCTTATTTGAAATGCTCCTGAGAACGATGTGGTATTTACTGGAGCATGAGGCTGTGTTCACTGTATCCAGCAGCTCCCTGGGACTTTTATATCTAAGCCATAGAAGAATCTTTCTACACATAAAGGCTGCTCTAACAGAATACAGCTGAGCAGAACAATATCATTGCAGAGAAAATGTACAGAAATATTATTCTCTTTTTAAAAAAAATCAGCAATGCTGTTCCAAGATGCCAGTTCAGATTCTCTTGACAGAACTGGAAATGGTGTACTTCTTTTTAAAAATAGATTTGTGTACCTCCACCCTGACAGGGAACTACAGGCAACTAGCCATTGATGAGAGAGAGTGTGAGAATTAGTCTTCTCCAAGGACAAGCCCCCTAATATAGAGTGGTCAGCCCTAAAATCAATAATATAAGTGACACCAATCCGATCCAGCAGTTTGTATTTCTAGACTTATGTATTTATATAAATATGTATGTCTAGCAAAGAAAAGAGAGGTTGATAGAAAGAGGGCCATAGGAGGGGTTTGAGGAAGGAAAGGCAAGAAGAAAAATAGTATGGTTATACTTAATTAAAATAAAAGATAGATTGTGTAATTTTTATTTAGGTCTAAAGTCACTGTAAAATGACATAGACAAGAGTTGAAAAATCTCAACTCAACTAAGTAAGGGGTTCCATAGGAAATAAGAAAATGGGGTCAGTTGTGTGTTTTATGAGATTATGTGTGTGGCATGCTAGAGGCAGAGGTATATTATACCTGTTCTTGGGTCACAGTATGACATATGTTTTGAAGCTGGAATTCTAGATCATCATCTGTTATCAGCATTCTTCACTACTGACAATGCCATCACATTTCTGAGAGATTCTTGACTGGCCAAAACAACAGCAACAAATAAAACCACATGTGGAGATGGCAGTTTTTGACCTCTATAAAGGAAAAGGAAAAAATATTGCTTTCAATTGTTCATACATTTTGTAATCCAGAGTTTCATAATCGTGAGATTGTAGCCACAATGGCCTGTAATGGCTTAGTCAAAGGAAGTCAGGCTTTTTGCAAACAAAAAAAAAAAAAGGAAAAACCTTGCAAAAGTGTGTACCAGGCTGACAATGGGCACAATGGCTACTGGGCACTGTCTTTATGTAAAATGCTGTAATCTGTGAATTCACTGTGGATCAGGCAGAACACAGAAGCCTGTTGTCTTGAATTATCTTCAAGACCATTGCACTTTATGGAACTGAATGAAGCTGACTTGCAAAAGAAAAAACAAAAACATGAAAACTAAGCAGCCTCCTTTGCTCTTTGGCAGGGTGAAGTAGAGAAATAACGCCTCCCCGCTGAACTACTATGAGGCCAGAAGCCTTGCTGCTATGTCTCACACTGCTACACAGCACTGGGGCTGGTTTCCCAGAAGACTCTGAGCCAATCAGTATTTCGCATGGCAACTGTAAGTATCACATACTCACTCATTGGCACTGGCTTTTGAAGACATTTTAGCCTGCATCAACCTAACCAAAAGTAAAAAGGAAGCAGGGAGGAGGCTCAGTAATTGTAAAGTGCACTCCTGACAGAGGCAGGTCATTCACATGTGGCCAGATGGGTGGAGTTACATAGATGGGGCCACTGTTAAGAGCTTCATCAAGTTGTAGCAACACCAACAAGTCTTTGAAATGCCCCTCCAGCTGCCTGATGAAGTCTCCCCCTAAATACAAAGGCCTGCTCCTGCCTTCATGCCAGCTACAGAGGAGAATACTATCTCAATTTACTGGAGGACTAAGAGTGTTATGTGTTTTCATCTGTAACCTGTAATGTTATAAAGCATCATAAAAAATAACTATAGGTGTTTTGAAATACCTAAGAGAAAAAAAAAAGCCTTTAAAAAAGCCTTACAAGTTTGCTAGTCTCAGGGAAGGACTAGCTTTGAATTTATAGAGGATTTATCCCATTTATCCCATTTTTGCCAAAGGTATATGCTGACATAGTTAAAACTTTGGGTGACTCCCTAAAAGAGGAAAGTCTTACTCTGTTTAAGAAAGAAAATCCGCCGGGTGTTGGTGGTGCACACCTTTAATCCCAGCACTCGGGAGGCAGAGGCAGGATGATCTCTGTGAGTTCGAGGCCAGCCTGGTCTCCAGAGCAAGTGCCAGGATAGGCTCCAAAAGAAAGAACATCTAATTTCTTATTTTATTGCCTACCCTCCAAAAGACCATTGTGTTCCAGCAAAAGTAAAGACATTTTCCCCAAGTACCGTTTTCTATGTAATTATTCCGAAACAAACACTGAGTGAAACATACCAAAAGGATATTAAATGCTACACCGGTGCTCAGCTTCCAGCTGTAATTTCTGAAAAAGGAGATAATTTTATATGCAAAGATGAGGAGCCAAGACTGGAATGTATAATAATGAAAGGACAATAGGTCAAAGGTCAATGCTATCACTGCTGAAATAGCTAAGCTCCCCACACTTAGGATTGGGAACCAAATAACCATGCATTTATCTACATTTAAGATAAGATTTCTATGTTTGGTGTCCCACTAAAACAGGGAACCCAGCCTTAATATGCTGTTGACAGTCATTAATGGTACACAATAGCATGATAACAGATGTAGGAGTTACCATAGCAACCCCCATGATGACCATGTACATGAAATTAAAGAAACATGGAAGGAAAAGCTTAAGATAATTGTACACCAAGCTTGTTTGGGAGTAAAATATATGGAAGCTCTCTAGTAACACACTGCTGTGAGAAAGCCCAGATGCCACAAGGTTAAAGTGTAGTCATCCAGGCATGAATCTGTGAATGGTTTCCCACTCATAGTTATACCCCCAAAACTCGCCAGAAAACATGGCCTTTTGAATGTGACTCATCTTTCTTTCCTCTTCTTGGAGGATTGCCAATGCTCTGGAGACTATAGGTTTAGAAACACAGAGATGTTGAGATACAGGTATTTCTAAAGGTCAGATATTATTACGCATCACAGACTCAGCCAAAGAGCACTAGAGGAAAGAAATGTGCTCATGGACTACGCCAGATCAGCCAACTGGCTACACTCACTTTGGCCATCTCCTGTCAAAGCCCACTTTTCTGTGAGATTAGCCAATTGCTTAGCTCCAGAGTGCACTTCCCACAGTTCCTAGAATGCCAACCAACTTAGCTGGGCTGCCCTCAATGGTAGATTATTCCACCCGGGCGCCTGTGGAGACTGTATTTTTCTTCTGGCTCCTGGATGAAGGCTCTCGCCTCCAGACCACATCGCCTTTGTGGTGATTGATGGGGAAGGCAGCTTTGAAACAGTTTTGTCCGGAGACAAGATCTTTGGCAGCCTGCCCCCCCTCAGGCTTAGCACTCCACAGAAAGATGAAAAGAAAACTAGGGAAGAAAAAGAGCACCACCTCCATGCAAAGGGTTGACCAGCAAGTTTAACCCTCAGAAATGGTGACACTTAGAAATGCTAGGACCAGGCTTATTATCATCTGGAATTGAAATGTAACTTGATCATCCATAAGGACCACTTTCACAGTTTCCTGAAATAACAGCTTTGCTAGAGATGGGAAATGGTGGCATGGTCTGAATTAAACATGGTTTTGTTCTGTGGCCCACCCCCTCCTCACACTACCCCGTTGATTCTTGGCTTGATCTGCATTTCCCTCTCTTACCACATCTCCTCTTTTCACAGATACAAAACAGTATCCGGTGTTTGTGGGCCACAAGCCAGGACGGAACACCACGCAGAGGCACAGGCTGGACATCCAGATGATCATGGTCATGAACAGAACCCTCTACGTTGCTGCTCGGTAAGAGACATTCCTCACTCCCATCTTCAGAGGACCTGACGGTGCCAGTCCCCACTCACCAGTGTATCTTCTAAGAACTCGAGGTTATTTAAACTAAAAGTCACTTGTGTTTGTCAAGCAATCATTCTTTCAAGATTTTCTCTGTTTAACCTTATGTGGGCTTTTGGAAGAATAATTGCATATTTTGGAGCTTAAAGCTCAAATAATCCACTGTGCTTCTTGATGCAAATATTTATCCAAGTACGTAGTAGAGAACTCCGCCACTTGGTAGCTGTTTGTTAAATCAGTTTGAATGTATCAACATGTATTATACAGTGTGCAGAGGTGTGTGTCTATTAGGCCTATTTGTATTTTTACAGTGAATATTTTTCATTATTTTTACAGAGCAGTAGTGGTGACCAGAGAAAATACAATACTGTTTATGTTTCATAAGTGCTTTGTATTTAATAGCAATAATAGAAATAATAAACTCTACTCATCCCTTGGAAAATGACATCTGGACGTGCTTAGATCCTAAGGCAGAGTGGAATGATAAGAATGCCACTTGGACAAGGGCCACATGGATTGGGGCTTTTGTTCTAATCCTGCCCATGTTCAGATGCTCCACAGCTTCTCTTGCTTTGTGTGTCCTCTGCCAGGTGAGAGATTAGGCCAGTGTTTGTAGGAAGTCCATGGTGATTCCAACAAGGTGTGTAACTATGATGAGAACAGTCCATAGGAGATGCCTGAGTCAACATATTTCCCACAGTTCCAACCAGGTTTGGGGTATGTAACTCGTTCCAGGGGAAGACTATCCTGAGGTGTTCCTCTGGGAACTTACCTGGCTCTAAATAGATAAATTATTTCATGATGGGAAGAAGACAGATGATGTTCATATGTGGCTGTGAGCCCAGGACCAGAGCGGCTAAAGTAACAATTACCAGATTCCTTGACAGTTTACATGTGGGTGACAATCTCTAATAGAAAGTGAAAAGCCATGAGTGTGATGAAAATGTCCCAAGCCCAGCACACTTTGGTTACAAGAAGCAACACTGAACACTTAAACAACAACAACAATAAAAGCCTACTCATGCTGGCATGTCCATACAAGTCAATGATGTAGTCAAAGCTTCATAAATGTTGGTTTGCTGGATTCCAGAAACAACCTCATGAGAAAGGTCAACTGCTTTCCCCACTTCCTACAGAAGGATCCCAAGGTACAGAGATGGGAAATCAGTGGCTCCAGTGAAAGCTGCAGCACTTGTACTAGAGTGCCCGTGCTCTGATGGCCACATAGCCACTCATGCCCTGTCCTGTGCTGCCCACTGTGAAGTGAAACTCTGTCTTGAGTTGATAAATTTCTAATAGCTGTTGACTGAGAACAGCCTTTGTGGGTATTCATTCTAGAATATTCCAGTGAGGGCTCAGTACCCACCTCTTTGGAAGCATGGCAGCTCATTCTTTGGTATCCTTCTTAATTTCCTACATGTAATAAAGTGAGATTATGTTTATGTCATTATGTAAAAAAGGCTGGTCAGAACAAATGGTTAGACATTGAACCTGTGAAAAATAGGTTGACTTGGGTATCTCCTGTAGATTGTTCTCTTCACAGTCCAGTCACTGGAAACAAAAATGGTTGTAATAGACAGCCCTTGAAGCCAGTGATTTAGCATAGGTGTGGACTACAGGCCCAGGGCAACAGGAACATTAGAAGCCAGGTTTTGTGTAGCCTAAGAAGCATTCATTATTCCAGCTCATTAAAATCAAGACAGTTTCATCTGAACTCTCTACCTCAAGGAAAGGAAAAAGGGGGAATAGAAAACAAGGAGTTCGTTCCCTTCCAAAGCAATGGGACAGACTTGCTGTTCATTGAAGGTCAAGTTCTGTAGCACCTTAACGTTGACATGTTGTATTTTCTCCATACCCAGCCACTTCCCTTCTATATACACTCTGAAAACTCCCGAAAGGAGTTTTGTGCTTGCTGTATTGAGGGCCTCTCCTTTTAATTTCACATTTCCCAACACTATCCTGAGACATCCAGGTTCCTGGGTAGCACGTTAACACGATTTAAAGTTCAGTCCTTCTCTGAGACTCAAGCCATGGCAACGCAACTCAGTGGTATTCAATGGACTGGGAAAGAGGAAGTCCTAGGATTAAGTCCGTTTGAATTCCAGTCCCTACGTTCAGATACAAGAGCATCATATGAGTCCTAGGATGCACATGGGCAGCTAGAAATGATCCTTTACCCAGGATTATAGCTGACCATAAAGCCCCACTTTATCCACTGGGGCCATGTGATCTTTGAGATACTCAAAAAGATTGCCTCTGTCCAGAGGGGATTTTGCTCATGGAATTGTTTGTAAAAGGTTCCCAGTTTTCTCAGACAATTGGTGTCAGGCAACGAAAGCCAAGTCCCATCCAGAACCCTGGGGACTGATGGGGTTTGGTGGCAAGAACGCCTTCCAATTCTTCCTTATTATTATCCACTTTGTAAATTCTTCTTTCTTTTTAATCTCTAAACTGCTAATTAACATAAACAGACCATGCCAAAAGGGGGCAATCTGAGAGCTTTCTGAGGAGCTGCCAATGCATATTAATTAGTGGTTAATTTACAATTCATATATTCAGCTTCTACTTACGTTTTGAAGGGAAAGGGGGCAAGGAAAGGCTTCTTCTAATCATCTCAAACCCAAAGCCAATGTCACAGGCAATTCCTGGCTAATAATGCACCTGACCACAGCGCCATCATAAAGTCAAACAAGTAATAAACGAATCCAATAAACGGCCTCAAAATTAAAGGGCAGAGGGATGTTGGCACCCTACTAAAGCTGGGAGAAGCTTCCCAGTCCAGCTGTTGGTAAAGTGGGCGCCTTTCTCCCCCCTCCTCTACCCTGACACAAACACACGTCCTTTCTGCCAAATGTAAACACGCACACACAAGTATACACACGGTTCAGAAGCAGGCCTTGGAATCTGTAAGCCAACACCCCTGCTTTCTCCATTTACTTCCATTTGAGAAACTGTTTTGATTTTTCTCTGTTGTGTTTTCTCCAAAAACAAAGTAAACAAACATCTCAAAAATTATATATATTTGAATATATGCATATGCACATACAAATATCATATATAAATCTTACAAA